ACAGCACTGGCTCTGCCTTTTGTGATCTGACCCAGATGAGCCCAGGGAGGGAGGGATGTCAGGCAGGAAGAGAGAAAGGGTGTCCTCATTTGCCAAAAGTGGAAAGCGGCTTGTCAGGCAGGCAATAGGGCCCAAGGCAGATCTCTACTTATGCTCTACTCTGAAATTTGAAATTGGAATTCATTCAGGGGATTTTGTTGTGAGGAGGAGTTAAACGGACTGGCAGGGGTGGATGGTAAGAAATCCAAATCCAAACTAGGCAGGGTGGCACACACCTGTAATCCCAGCATTTGGGAGGCTGAGGCAGGAGGATTGTTGCAAATTTGAGACTAGCCTGGGCTACAAATTGAGCTCAGGGCCAGCCTGAACTGCAGAGTTAGGCCCTGTCTCAAAAAAGAAAAGAAAAAGAAAGTCCTTTTACAGATGAACACATGAAACTTCCCCAAGTCAGTGATCTGCTGAGTTCACACAACAAATTAGAGATAACGTATGGTTGCAGAGACTCTGACAATCAATGGATTTAACAGCTCCTGGATCATACCTGACCTGAAGGTATCCACATTTAGAAAAGTACTAAATCTTGACTTTCCCCAAAGTGAATATGGCTGTGAGGAGGCTGGGTCTGATGGATTCTATAGAGAATTCCCTCAAGTAAAACTACAAAAAAAATGAGAGAAAGACATGGTTCCAGTTCCTAACTCATCAAGTTTTCCCACCTGAGATCAGGTGCATCTGCTGGGCTCCCTCCAAAACTGGTTAAGGCAAGGACACAAAAGCGGACGGGAATTTCTAGATGTGGGCTCCAAGGCAGCACTGCGAAGTGGCCAAAGGTGTGGCCACTGCGGCAGACAAAAGACAGTATGTCTTACAAAGTATGTAACCATGAGTAGGTGAGCCAGCTTCTCTGAGCTCGCTGCCTCAGCTATAGAATGGAGATCGGAAGGGCCACCTCCACTGCTGATGGGGGCTACGTCAGCTAATGCACACACAAGTACCCAGAGAAAGACTCCGTGAGAGAGACGTTTTCCTGGCCCAGCACTCCTGAGTCTCATTCCTCCAAGTCTCAGTTTAGAACTTTCCAGATGTTTTTGCTTCCCACACCATCATGCTGCCGACGGGGGTGAAAAGTACAGAGCTGCAGGTGTGTATGGGGCAGGAGGCAGAGGAGCCTTCCGGGTTCCCTGTGCCCCCGCTACCATGAACCCTCCTACAGGGCAGTGGTCCGAGCCCTTCTGCAGAGGCCATTTCTACACTCTGCTTCTGGTTCGGGCTGCCAAGGAGAACCTCAGGCTGCGTCAGGCACCACATCCCATTTCCAAATGGCCTTAGCTCTGAAGCAGCGCCACAGACCCCTCAGCGTCACCTGAGGAGGGGACAGGAGCTCTGGCCCTGACCCTGTTCACACAGCTGCCTTCGGGGCCAGGAAATGAGGCGCCCGGCTGAAGCTACATTCCAAGGTCTGACTGCGATTCAGTCCAGCTTAGGTGCTGAGGTCCGGGTAGATAAGCAGGGGAAGCAAACGGGGGAGCCTGGGGGAGAGGAGACGCGGGCGATGGCATTTCACAGATGGCTTTGCAGGAATGGGCCTGGGCCTGCAGTCAAAAACCCTGGCCTGCTGCTTGGTTTTGTCACCTATAAGTCTTCCTTCATTATCGGTAACAGTGGTCTCCAAAGTGTGATCCATGGACCCTTGGGGGGAGGTGGAAACTATTTTCATAAGATTAGTAAATCGGTCCTCTTTATCCTGCAAGTCTCGCTGGTATCCAGTGGAGTCTTCCATAGGCCATGTGATGTCATATCATCCGTGCTCTGATAGATGATGGAATGTGTGTTTTCTAATTGTCTGTTTTCATTGCTAATACAGTGAATATCGATAAATAGAAATCATATCATCTAAAGTTCTTTGAGGTCAGTATTAATGTTCAGGGCCTTAGAGGGGTTTGGGACTGAGTGCCTGCTCCTAGGGGTCCTTAATCCATGGATGCCTGCTGTCCCCACCCCAGCCAGGAACCTGGTAGGCATCAGCAAGGTGTTTCTGCAACCTGGCAGCAACTACCTCTTATAGTTGGAGAGTGTTCCTAGTGGGGAGTGCCTGAGCCTGGGGAAAGGAGCCTGGGCTGCATTCGGGAGGCTTGGAAGAGCTGGGGGCAGTGAGTGGAGCCAGGCAGCCAACCAACAGCAGCCGGGTGGAGCATCCTCTGAAGACAGGAGGGGCCGGGGCCTAGGGATGATGCTGAGTCTGGCCTTCACAAGGTCACTCGCTCCTCTCGATGAGTTAATCCCAAAGCCCCCAAGTTCCTTGGTGCCCAGAGGGCTTGAGCTGGTCCTGCACACAACTTCCCTTCCCTCCCGCTCCCGTTCCCTAAGCCTCACTCACTGGAAACAAAGTGAGCCGCTTCCACAATCTCAAATTTTCCAGTAGCCACATTTAAGAAGCAGGTGAAATTGATTTCAGTAAGATTTCACCTAACCCTCCACTGTGAAACCTTGATTTGTGAGTGCAATTTGTTCCAGAAACATGCTTGCCATCCAAAGCACTTGGATGTCAAAGCAAATTTCCCTGAAAGAAACAATGGAAACTCAAATGATTTGTCCCATGATTACAATACTGTAACATAACACAAGATAATAAATCATATACAAGGTATAAAGAAAAATGAACCGGTTAACCTGTACTTACCTTTGAAGATTTTTGTTGCTGGTAGGAGGCAGACGAGAGAGCAGGATTACCGTGTCCCTGGACTTTTCTGTCACTGATGGAATCACTGCTGTCTGTCGGCTCAATAGAATCTCTTTTCCTTTTTGGGCACCTTTAACAAGGAACTTACCCAATGACACTTGGCTTTCGCCTCCTGAGAATTTAGTGGAAATGTGACCCTGCATCATTGTTAAACAGATTCATCCCTCGCACTGTCTTATTTTGGTGGTATTTTTCTACAAAATTTTGCATGGTTTCCCACATTTTATACATCTCCCTAATTGCTTTTGACATGAGGAATTCTACCTTTTTATCCTTTTTCTCTGCAGACAAGATCACCTCCCTAACCTCTTGCTAAGATCAGAGAAAGAGAGACAGAAACAGAGATGAGAATCCCAGGTGTGATGGTACATACTTATAATCCCAGCACTCAGGAGGCTGAGGCAGGAGGCTCTCTGTGAGTTCAAGGCCAGCCAGGGCTACAAAGAGAGTTCAAGTCCAAAATACATAGTGAAGCCCCATTTTAAACAGACCAAAAAGAAAAGTGGGGGGTGGGGGATGAGAGTGAGAGAGAGAGAGAGAACCATTGGGTGGCTGTGTGATCATGTGACATTCAGCATCACATACTACTTGTAATGCAAAACACTGCCTGTCTATCAAGTTAAAATGTATTATAAATTTTGCTCTTCTTGTGGAATACTCGCAGAACAACTTAGATCCAAGGTTTTCTGTACATCCAAAGTTGTGTCATTTTGTAATGGCGACAGCTCTTTGAAGAGTTACTGTTGCTTCCCTGCCCTTTTTCCAGGCGTTCTAAGTTTTAAAGAGAGAGAAACTTCTAAATAGTCACCCTTTGGGTTTCCAGAACTCAGTACATCTGGCTCCCTTCAGATAACATCAGAATGTGTAATGCCTCTCTCTAGCCTTTAGTTCCATGCTTCAACTAGTATGAAGCTCATAATTTGCTGTGCGATTTAACTTGCAGAAAATCAAATGCCTGTTCAAAGAAAATATAGGAACTAATCATAGGAAGTTGATGTCAGCTTTGATATTCTACTCAGGAAAAACAGAAGCGGGTTCGCCGGATGCAGAGGCCCCGCTCAGCCTGTGGCCCTGCAGCACCCCTCTCTCCCTCTCTAAAAGCCTCTGCACCCCTAGGTCCCTGGGCTGCAGCTGTGAGGGTGACAGAGGGCCAGCCCTTGAGCAAGCCTGGCTCCTTTCAAGCGACTCTTATCTCCTGAGTATTGGCTTTCCAGTGGCGAGCAGCTCAGACCTGGATCTAGTAATAATTTTAACATATAATCAATATAAGCAATTAATAATGAAATGTTTTTTATTCTTCTTTGTACTAAGCCTTTGAAATTCAGTGCATAGTTTAGACTTCCTCTACATATGAATTTGGACGTGACATTTTTCCGGAAACACTTGCCCTGTATACAGGGGTTATAAAATTTATACTTGAACAAAGAGATTCACATACTCAAGTTGTTCCAAGCATATTTAGGAGTGTTTCAATGACTGAATCAAGTGTTTAAAAATCAATTTTATTGTATTTTATTTTTTTGGGACGGGGTCTCGCTCTGCAGTTCAGGCTGGCCTTGACCTCACTTTGTAGCCCAGGCTGGTCTCAAACTCACAGTGATTCTCTCGAGTCAGCTTCTGGAGTGCTGGCATTATAGGCATGTGCCACCATGCCTGGCTCTTAAAACCAGCTTTTAAATTCAAATAAAACTTAAAAGTTTCTCAACTGGAGATATAGTCGTATTTTAAGTGCTCAGTAGCCATATCTGGTTAGCAGCTAATAGACTGAAAAGTATAAATATACACTGTCCAAGTCCTGCATCCTCTTTGAAATTAACTATATTGTGTAGTTAAATAAGTATGTGAAAGTAACATATGTTCATTACTCAAAATTTCAACATTATAGAAATATAATAAATAGAACATAATATATCCTACGTTCCTCTTTCATAGACAACTATTGTAAAAATGATGCACATTTCCCATTTGTTTTCTCTATATATTTATAGTAATTGTTATTGATAATTTTTATAAGAGCAAGATAATTCTATTTATCCTTCCCTTTCATTAAACACACATACAGCATGCAGTGCTAAGAACAGTGAATAGAATGCTGAGCATTCGCCCTATGAGGCTCACACTCAGGAAGACAGGGGGAAAATGAAACAAGATAAATATACAGGGCATGTTGAAGAAAATGCATTAAGGAATAAAATTAGGAAGTCATTTGGCGGTTACTTTGGAGAAGGCAGTGAGCCACTCTGACGCAGAGAGATAACAACTGAACGGAAAGCCCTTGTGACTTAATCACTTCTTCAGAAGACTCCACCACCTAATACCACCGGCTGGTGATTAAGCGCCAGCACAGGCATCTGCGCGGGGAGGGAACACATTCAGGCCACGTCGGATACGCGGTGAAAAGCAGGTAAGTGGGCTGGGGACGGGCTGGGCTGCAGTTGAGTGGCAGAAAGACCAAGAGGGCAAGCGCCTGAGTAAACCACAGGCAAGGCAGAGCTAAACCCTGAGGAAAACGAGCTGCAGCAGACAGGGACGGATGGAGTCCGCTGGACACAGGAAGCCCAGCCAGCAGCAACAGACCTGCAGTTTCTCATACCTCCCCAGCAACACACACACACGCACATGCATACACGCGTGTGTGTACACACACACACACACACACACAAGGAAATAGGGTCGCTCCTTTCTACACTGGACACCCAGGTCCTCTCCCCAGACATGGACATCCTACAGTCCACACTACAACCCACAGAACAAAGTTCTGGCTGGACGATACCTGGACTGTCCTTCCATTTTTGCTACTTAAAAACTGCTGCAGTGACCATGCCCACACAGGTGTCCTCTGGCAGATATACCTATAATGCGCAGTATTCTCTGCGCTGTTAACTCATTAAAAATTAAATCACTGGAGGTGATTTTTCAGTTTTTTTGCAGAACAAACAGGACTATAAGGAACACCCTTGTACATAAATCTCGAGTAATTCTATACAAAGATACTGTAAGCCTAAAATGTATTTGAATTTTAAATTTGTTAAGTGGAATCTGTTTTTCTTCCAAAGAGCTTAGACCAACTTACGTGTCTCCTGATCATATTTAAGGCTTCCTATGGCCTGGCAGCCTGATCAAAATGATTTGACAGCGGGGGTGCAGCTCAGTTCAGACCACAAAATCCTGAATCCAGTCTCTGGCACAAAGATAACAACAAAGGCCATGGGTGTCGCTGAGTGGCAGAACACTTGCCTAATGTGCATAGGGCCCTAGGTTCAATCCCAGACAACACCACACACACACAATAACCAATGAAAAGCTACATGATCTTTAACAATCAATAGCTAAACATATTGTCTTACTGTTAAGTTTATTTGTTACTTTTATTTTTGTTTTGTTTTTGTGGTACTAGCAATTGAAACCGGGGCCTTCACACTGAGCTACATCCTCATTCCATTTTATTTTGAGACAGAGTCTCACTAAGTTACCCAGCCTGAGCTAGAATTTACCGTCCTGCATAAGCCTCCTTGGATGCTGGGATTACAGGCATGTGCTACCGTGCCCAGTTTAGCCATTTTCTTTATGCTTATGGATTATTTGTATTTCTTCGTCTGCCTTGCTGGCTGTTCTTTGCTGGGTCCCTTCTTTATTGAACTGCAAAGTTTTAAAAAATATATATTTAGCAAAGTAATCCTTTGTGTCATATATATTTGCTTTTTAATTTTGTGCAATGCTGGGGATAGGACCCATGTCGCTCTGCATGCAAGGCAAGCTGGTCTACCACTGAGCAACAGAGAGAGAGAGAGAGAGAGAGAGAGAGAGAGAGAGAGAGAGAGAGAGAGAGAGTTCTGTGTTTTATATGGACTGAGACTATTAAACTTTAAAATTATTTCATGTTCATCTCTAACAGTCTTATGCTTTCACTTTCTTATACCTAGGTTTGTGACCCAGCTGGAATTTATTTTTTTTTACAAGGAACAAAAAGACAGCAATGTCTTTTTAGTGGACTGGTTAGTCATTTAACCCTACACGATTTACTGAATAGTCTCTCTTTTTTCCCAGTGACTGGAAGAGAGTTTTGAGAGGTCTCATTGCAAGACTCAAACACCACCAACACTGCGGACTGGAACCCGGGAAACGGCTGGCACGGCCGCCAGGAACCTCCACCAGGGGAGCTGCCTGCTGCACACCTGGAGCAGGAGCCGGTGGGCCTTCCCTCCTGCTCTGGAGGAGCAGCTGCCTGGGACCACCCTCATGCCTGCCTCACCAGCACTCCATGCCACCTGCACAAGGTGGCACTGATACTATTTGGCAGCTGCAAATAAAACTCTTAATTAGAACACGATTTCCAATTTCCAGCATTGCAAAAATAAACTTTTTTAAAAATGAGCACAGTGAGTGATATAATTAAAACAATATATACAACTGCATTAATGTCAAAGCAAAAACTCAAAGGGAAAGGAATCTAGAGGGACAAGAAAGAGAAAGGCCACTAGATATACAAAAAGCACCCGGGGTGCAAAGCCAAAGCCCCGGCCTCTGGTTCCAGCTGCGTGTGGTGGGCATCTTCACCCCTTTGCGCCTCGCCCTCCTCAGCTCTAACACAGAAACAGTGCCAGAAAACGCTGAGGTTCCTTCTGCAGTGATCACACCTAAGGTTCCCCAGCTGCCCTGAAGTCTCCTCCCAGGTCTGGGGGGCGGAGGTGTTTGCTTGTTTTTGTTCTCGGTGTGGAATCTTAGATGACATTCTCCACTGACTCTCGTTCCCCTCAAGGTCCTTGAGTTTGCTTTGCCCTGAAGCTTCAATCAGGACTCTAGAGTAAAGTTGTTACTATTTTCTTTTTTTTTTTTTAATTTTATTTAAGAGGAAAAAGAGAAAAACACAAAACAAAACAAAGCGGTGTAAGGGTACACGTAATACAGAACTACAAAAAAAAAAAAATAACAGTAAGAAATCACCTGTTAATAGATTACATATAATCATCTTAGATATAGTTGCTCAAATCACAGTATCAAAGAATACAAAGTGGACATTCAAACAGAGAGACTGCAAACAGCTGTGTTCAATGATCCAAAAACATTAATATAGTCAGCTATTTAACACCCCTAAAAACACTTGCTGTTATATCCGTTAGAGCTCTTTTTTTTCCCCTCTCTTTTTTTACAACAAAATTTACACATTTTGGATTTTATTACTCCTTAGTTCTTATTATTTTGGGGGGAGGAGAGAATAAAGTCAAATATGGCAAAACAAAGCTGTCAGTCAAAACCAAGGATCTCCTGCAACTAGCCGTCTGCCACCTGATTCCGGTTCTATCAGGATTTCCACCCACCTTCACAGGATTTTCTTTCAGCCAAGAGGGGAGACCCCAAGCTGTGGGGCCCCTGGAGGGCATCTCTTGCTAAGGAAAGAGGCCACGTGTGAGGAGGAGGTTCCTCCGAGGACCAGCCTTTCCGTCTTCGATGTGATGTGAGCGGGAGCCAGGGCCTTTAGAGGAAGCGGTTCTGGAGGACTGGCTGTGGAGTGGAGTGAAAGTCCCAAGATGCTGAGCTCAGAGCTCAAGGCACCTGCAGTGCTCACAGGAGTCTCTGTTTTCATCTAGAAAACAAAGTACTTTTGAGGCAGAAAATTGTGCAATCAGCAGGCGCTTTGAACGTGGCCACCTAGCAGGTGGGCTGATGAAGCTGTCTGCCAGTGGGTGACAAGGGGACAGGACGGGAAGCAGAAATGGACAGGGGCCCTGGATAGACAGCAGGAAAGTGCAGAATCAGCACAGGCCACCGAGAGATGACGGTGAGGAGAACTCTCTGACCTCAGCCCCCAGTGACTGTGGGCGAGCAAGCAGTATTTGGGGGGACCCTACTCCCCATATGATGGGTGCTGGCTTTCTTTCCAACATGCCCTCTTTGCAAGTTTTCATTTGCTGGAAGCAGAGGCAACGGTTTGGGTCCCACATAATTAACTTAGGTCTTTTTCCCTGTGTCCAAATCAGCTGTCATTCTGTGAACATTCTTGGATTTCTTCACCCCGTGCATTTTGTATGTCAATGCTTATACAAAATTCTCACATGGGTTAGAATTTCCTGTGTTTATACTGCCTGGACGACCCTACCTTTGTCCGAGCTTATCTCTCCTCCCTTCCATGTCCACAGCTTGCACTTCAAAGCCCATGTCATCTACTAAGCCTGAATATTTCGGTAGCTTTCTACCTTGCTACTCAATCGATTCTTCAGTATTTTTTTGTACAGATACTTTTCACATAACTGCTTGCATGGCCTTTCTCATTTTCAATGCCCTTCACCAAAGTAGTATATTTGTTACACAGTATATACACAGTACATTTGACACATCCTTTTGAGATGATCACCAAAGTTCAGAGTTTCCTTAGGGTTTGCTTCTGAGGTTACAGATTCTATTCTATTTGGACAAATGTGTAGTGACAAGTATCCACCACTGTAGTACCATAAGGATAGTGTCCTAAAAATCCTCTGTTCTCCATCTGTTCCTCTCTCCAGCCCTCTCACCTAACCCCTGGAAACCATGATCTTCTAACGGTCACCATAATTTGTCCATAAATGTCCCACCTATGCCAGAGTGATACACTGTTACAATACGGAGTGTTTCCAGATTGGCTTCTTAGCTTTAGTAACATGCAACTGAGCTTCCTCTGTGCTTTTTCATTGGGTGACAACTTATTTCTTTGGTAACATGGAATAACATTCCATTGTCTGGATATTCCACAGTTTGTTTATCGATTTGCTCACTGAAGAACAACATGATTATTTCCGAATTTTGGCAATGATGAAGAAAACTGCTATAAACTGTGCATATTTTCATGTAAACATAAGTTCTCAATTCCCGTGGGTAAATACCAATAAGCATAACTATTCCATCATACTGCAGGAGAAGGTTTTGTAAGAAAATGCCACACTGGCTTCCAAAGCAGCTGTCCTGCCTCGCATTCTTGCAGTAACAGGTTTTTGCCTCCCCACAGAATTGCCAGCCAGTGTTCTAGAGTTGGGCCATTCCACAGATGTGCAGTGCTAATCTACAGTTCCCTAATGTCATATAATATTGAGCATCTTTTCATGTGTTTATTTTTATATCTTGAGGGTCTCTGTTAAGGCTGTTAAGGTCTTAAGTCTATTTTTGAGTTTTTACCTTATTGCTCAGTGTTAAAGAGCTTTTGTACAATGTGGCTACCAGTTCTCTGTTAGATTTGTGCTTGCAAATATTTGCTCTCCATATATGGTTTGTCTTTTTGTGCTCTTGACAGTGTCTTTCTCAGAGCAGAAATTGTTCATTTTAATAAAAAGTTCAACTTTTTAATTTTCTCTTCCATGTACCCTCTTAGAAGTTAAATCTGAGATTACAGCCCTCATCCTTCAACAATCTTTTCTGAAAAAGATGGAAGCAACAAACACATAGTTGCTGACCACTTCAGTAGTGACATCGCGACACTGGCCGTCAGCATGATGACACTGGTGGTCCTTTTTCCTGGGTTTGCGTTAGTCACGGGAGTCTTGGATGGTCCTTGTGTCATTTCATGGGAGTCTTTCTGTAGAACACATGCCACTGCCTTCTGCCTCCTAAGGGAGAAAAGGAAAAATTGAACCAGCCATTTGTGATCTGTACTACCTCCATGAAAGCTTTACAGATATTATAGACTCCATGCCGGACAAAGGTTCCAATCCAGCCACTCTTTACCCAAGGTGAGGAATCTAACCTTTGTGAAAATCTGGGGCTGAAGCCTGAAACCTGTCCTGCCAACGTCCCAGGTTCCTGTGCTGCCCTTCTCTGTCACGCCCCATACATGACACGATCTAACTCAAAAGAGACTTGAGAACTGACCGTGCAGGAGCACAGTCAGCAAGACCGTTAGCCCTCCCCCAAGGTCAGACTCATTTTTGTGGGTCTCTAACCTCGCGGTTCATCCAGCCCCTAAATAAAACCATCTCATCCCAGGTGGGAAGAGGATAAAGAATGATTCTCCCTCTCCTTTGCTGTGTCTCTCCGGGAAGCAGAGCTGATCAAAAAACAAAAGTTACCCGCTGGTAAATATCTTGCATCTGTGCCTTGAAGCTGAGGTAATAAACCTTTTGATCCAACTGAAAAATCAAGGCTAAGGGGCAAATTTAAAAGGACTTTTGCACAGATCTTTCTTATCATCTCATGACATGGTTTTCACATCAGATATTTAAGAGCTCATCAATGTGATTATAGAACCATTAGTCCCACTTCCAAACCTGATTAGCCACTCTGGTCCTGTTACTTACAAAGACTAATTTTAGGTTTTTCTCAATTAGGACTAAATGTCAACCAAAATGTACTACATGAAAAGTGTTATTAACATTATCATAATAACAACTTATGCTGCCTCCATATTAAAACATATAACACATTTGCCTACAATGTGTGATTGAAATCTTTGCCTTCCCAGCCTCAAAAGAAGAGCAAAATATGCTGATGCTGAATACAAGTGGAACATTTTGTCAAGAGCTATTTTGCAAATGCTGCTTTAATTCATGCAAAATCAAATTTATCCCCATTGGATTAAGTTCAAATCCAGACAGTTGGCAAAGACAGGCTGCTAAACTCCTTGAAATAACAACTTTGGAAATATCCATTGAATGCTCACACTCTGCTTTTCTCTTTGAGTGGTCAAACGCCCTTTATGAATTAGCAATGAGGTTTGACAGAACTTATTTTCCTTGGGAATTATACAAGACATTCTATTTTTAACCAAAAGCTAAAAAACCGTGATCAAATCAATGCTTTAAATCAAGCCTGCCTCAGATCTCAAGAAAAAGTTCTTATCAAAGGAACCAACAAAATTGTAAAGATGAGCAGACTGGAAATCTTGGCTAAAATTCTGATGCACAATGGTTGGCCTGCTATTCTTCTTTGCCATGAAAGTCTGAGGTCTGTGTGACTGCTTAAGAAAAGAAAACAAAAAATGACAAATACATCTTCCTTGAGATCAGCTCAAGACTTGAAGAACTCCCCAGGCATTTGCTCTGGAGCTCACCTTAGTACCTATATTCTGAGTTGCTTCAAGGCAGAAAATCTCAAAAGCAAAGCCTGAGGTTTTATCCGATACAAAAACGAGCTAGAAATATTTTCCATTTACATTCTGGAAAGTGAAGGAAAATATCAAGAAAAAAAGCGAAAGCATTTCAACTCCAAACCCCAGAAATACTAAACACTACCGTTTCTAATACTGTTTGTGTTTCTAACCAGTATTTTTGAGAGAGATGGGTCCTTGCATGTCTCTGTCTAGGTATATGTGTGTATACACACATACCAATATGATTTCTTTTTTTTTAATATTTAAAGGAGAAATAAAACAGTGAGACTGCAAACAGTTGTGTTCAATGATCCAACAA